ACACAAATAACAGGTCGGTAAAGTTCGGATTTTTCCGGAAAAATGATAATCGATTATTATCGATAATCGCTGACAAATTCTTGCCGATAATCGATATTGAAATTTCATATCAATTCCCAGCCTTAGTACCCGTCTTCATTAGCCAAGTCGGAGCAGAACAGTAGGACCTTAAACCCCATTTCATTTCATTGCCCGATCCTCCATCCCACACCATAGACAAGGGAGAATCAGCCTGCAAAATGGTGACATGTTCATGGATGGATCATGTTTACATGTAATTCTCTGATTTTCACAAGAATTCATCAGGATTTCTCTGAGAGAATCTAATAGAAATTTGAATTTTTGGTCTGCATACAGATATATTCTACATGTACATCTAAAGTTTGACATGTGGATGCAAAATTTTAAATTGAGAGCTTGACATGTGCAGGAATTTCAATATTGTAAAAATCAAACAGCTACATTTGTACACGTCACTGGGCTTTGTCAGGGTATAAACCATAGCTTGTCATTTGATATACATGTAAAGTGCAAGCATAGTGTAAGTAATATCTTGTAGATCTATTTTTATACAGACAAATTAACCTTTTGTAATATTTCAATTCTTCAGTCATCTGTGTATATGTAGCTTATACATGTATGTATATTGAAAATCATTCTTTTATAGAGCATGTATGTTTTTATACTATTTACATGAAAATCTTACTTTCAGTCTGATAAATTGCTATTTGTTAGTTTGGGAGTGGGGGGGGGGTGGAATTCAGCAGATTTCGGGAATAACATATGGTAAATCTTATTTCAGTAATTTGCTAATGGGCTTTAGCAGTGGGAGGGAATGGAAGGTCCCGGTGAAGAGCCATGAGATTGTTCAGACGACCCTACTGCTTGTCACCTACAAGTTTGGTATCTAAACCATGCGAGTTGACTCAATGACAGACCTAATGAGCTAAAGTTCATGTGTTAGGTCATCCATTTTACATGTATATAATCAGCTGGCAACAAATTGTAAATTGGGCTGGGTGCAGGAAAAATGTTATTGAAAATCAAAGTTCATGCTTGTTGATGTGTACGTAAAATAAACAAAGGTTTAGTGATTCAAGGGGAAGGAAATAGCCCATACATTAATCAAATATTTCAGACGTTGTAGCCACTCCTAAGGATTTAATCTTTGTCCGGTTCTGCATTACTTGTAAAACTAAATGATATGGGGTTTCACATACTACTGTTCTACAACTGGGCTCAAGAAAATGGGAATATGCCATACTGTGTGCTATGAGGGAAATTTTTTGTTGAATTCCAACTGCCAAGGGATCTTTTATGTGCACATGGGACCTTAGTTTTTTGTGTCATCCAAACAACAATAAATTGTCTCTTGCCATGCCCTCTATCCTGCACCATGTTAGGGGGGTTGGATGGCCGAATGGTTAGCATGTGCGCGCTGTATCATAGGGTCTGTCATTGAGTCAACTGGCGGGGTTTCGATTCCCCGGTTGTACGTGACAGGGAGTAGGGTTGCCTGTCCAACCTCGTGGGTTTTATCCGGGTCCTCCGGTTTCCTCCCACTGCTAAAGATCCCTACGCACAAGCGAATTATTGAAATAAAATTGAACCATGTGTTAGTCCCGAAATGGCCTAGTTTGTGTCGAGTGGACGTTAAGCCCCATTTCTCTCTCTGCACCATGTTGGAACCACTTTGGAAAATCCTGATAAACTTTCTCAGCCAACGCAGGGATCGAATACAGGGCCTTCAGGTTAGTGAGCCAACATCTTACATGATTCATTTATAGATCTCACCAGGTTATAAATGTCAATAAAATATTGATCTTAATTAAATGGTTTGAGCTGGTAAAAAAAAAAAATTAACCGTTTGATAAATTTGACCTAATTTATCATGGATAGAACTTAATGCCTGAGCTATCAAAATAAATTAATCAATGATTTATTTAAATGGGTGTTATTTTTTGTTATCCACAACTGTTCTTGCAATATAAAGTATGTTGTGATTATCAGAATTCCCTGTGCAGTGGATGGTACTCTTCATTTTCCTGGAGCTACGCCTGCGAGTTTTACAACATCTGGTCGTTGCTAGATTGCTTTACAATTCCCGAAGTCATAGCTACATGTACGTTATCTCCATTTAATGCACATGCGCGAACAGTAGCGTCAAATCAGAGGTTTGGACACAAACACGCTCAAATCAAATATAGCGACATCCACAGAAACCTTGACATTGACCAAACCTTGATTCGATTATCACAGACATTTTAGCTGGAAAGTATGGTCGAGGAATCTGATAGGCTCTCAAGTTGGGTGAATACCCAATCGAAATTAGTGCCGAAATATCCAGGGTGTTCACATGAAGGCCTTGATAAGATGTACGGAGTTAAAGCAAGATCAAGCCTTCTATTGCTATGAAAGATTCTTTCAACTATAATCCCGGATTTGGGTGATTTTTCTTCCGTAATATGCAATGAAATTCAAGGTGACCCATAAGAGTTTTATATGAACAGATTTATTGCAAACACTCTCTACATCTGTTCCATAATTTACCATACCGTACTTATTTCATCAACATTTTTAAAGAAAAAATGCAAGCCATGCACTTAGTTGACTAAAGCATCTGTTATTGTTGTACATGTTAAAACTAGGACTATACATGTATGAGTGTAGTAGTAGAGATCTATTGAGTTACATGAATGTGTAGCCTTCTACCTATTTACTCCTAAGCTATAGAAATAGGTCAAGTATGCCATTATACACTCTTACATATATATATAACTGTTTACAAGAAATTAAGGTCACAGACTTATATATGACTGTGTATTTTACCTATAAGAACTAGATATTTATATAATTGACTTAAATATGTGAGAAATAACAGCATATTGGATAGCTAATTCTCCTACATACTAAATTACCAGTTTCATACGATAATTTTAAATTAAGATATGGAAAAAAGATCAATATTTCAGCCTGTTGTTTTCTGTCCAGTCCAGTCATATGTATGTCTATACATATAAGTGTACACCCTTGTACCCGCTTGGCGTGCATAGTGAGGGTAGTGATGTACAAAACCCATTAGCGGCAAAAGCAAATTGGATTGATACACACATGTAGAATGGGCTTGAAAACTAACTATCAATATACCGGTACATAAAAATGGTTACATGGTGACTTGACGAGTAGAACTCTGGTTCACTAACCGAGAAGTTGGCAGAAAATAACATTAGTAGGCTGTAGCGCCACAGTCTGGGCAAAATGTCCCTCATAGCCCGAGAGATTGGCACAGAATAACATCAGTAGGTTGTAGCGCCACGGTCTGGGCAAAATGTCCCTCATAGCCCGAGAGATTGGCACAGAATAACATCAGTAGGTTGTAGCGCCACTGTCCTGGAAAATGTCCCTCATAGCCCGAGTGGTTGGCAGAGAATAACTTCGTAGGCTGTAGTGCCACTGTCTGGGCAAAATACTCATAGTCCGAGAGGTTGGCAGAGAATAACATCGGTAGGTGTAGCACCACTGTCTGGGCAAAATTTTCCTCATAGCCCCCTGCATGACATATGCCTATCTTCATTAGCCCAGTTGGTGCAGAAAAGTAAGATGTTATTTTGAAACTCATTTCATTTCAAAATGGCTAGAGAAAGAGTATCGATGTCTATATTTAAATCTAAATTACGTAAAAAAATAAATTTTTACAGGTCACAATTCTATGGAATACAATTACAGCTTATTACTGAGCAAGATTTCAACTAGGCTTATCTAGTCATTATCAAGCCTACTCAAAACGTCACTCAGTAATAAGCAGTACATTGTATTCCATAGAATTGTGAACTGTATATTCTAGTTCAATTACTAAATGCCATTGAAATAATTTAAAAAATAAATTGTTAAATTCATTGATGCATTTTGAAATGGAGATTAATTTTTTTTTTATATATGATTAATTCAGTACTGTAAGTTTTTGTCATAAATTATTGAATGATGAACATGAAACTGGTTATCTCAACAATGGCTTCATATGGATCAAAAATTTTGAACAAAGACAGATATTGCCCAATAGCAAAACAAATTGACAATTTTATTTAAACCCAGTGTTTTAATTATCTCACTGTCATGAATCATGTACAGGCAGAAAATTTGCATGGATGACAGGGTCTGTACTCTGTGATTAAAAATATTTCATTAAACTTTAGAGATTGATAATGTTTGATAAAGAAGAGGTCATCTTCAAGAAAATTCAGTTTTAGATGCGAAAATCAAATAATTGAAAATCTGTTAATTTCTTTTGTTACGGTTGAAAAAATCATGATATAGTTTATTTTTCATTACAAATTGGCCCTTTGTCAATTCTCCACCCTCGCATAAACGTTAAATTTAACAGAAAACCGACAATAGCATATGGCAGGTTTAGACCAGACACCATTATTGGCGTATTATTATACAAGCTGTACAGCCATTCGTTCTGTGTGTGTGTTGTGTGGAATGATGGTGTGTTGGTGGTAGGCCTCTATACTCTCAACTAAAATAGACCAATGCTGTGAGTCAGTATTTCTCCATGCTGTACTACATCCCTCATGTAACAAATAGTGATTTTTCTGGTAAATGTCTATCAAATGAAACCATCATCATACACACATGGTATTGTAGAGATGTGCATTGAGATATATTGATTTCAATTTGTACAAAAAAACTCTTGATACAGCCCGAGTTCAGTGACATGTGCTCACTGCTCACAGCCATTTATGTCTTGTTTACTTCTTAAATCTCGAGCAAACTCTTTACAGATATTTTTTTATTGTGAGTGCTGAGATAGGTCAAGGTTAGAGTTATTTAAGCCTGACCAACACAATAGAGATAGTTGTGAGCAATTCTTACACAGGCCCCAAATTTTAAAGGGTTGATTAGAGTTTATTTGTTTTACCTGACACTTATGCAGTCTCAATTACCAGTCTGAGTTCCTTGTGTGTTGTGGAGCATCAAAAGCTGACTTGTTGACTTAACACACTACACAAATAAAACAGTCAAATTTATTTTCTGATTCAAGTTATATTGGTGTGTGTTTGGCTTAATGGTATTCAGTTTGTATGGAATTTCTGTAGATAATTCTGAATAAATAATAAGCACATTAAGATCATGAATTGAGATAGGCTTTCCTCTTGATTATTGATATCACAAATGTTGCTGGGCTACAAGATCAGCTCAAATATCGGAAATTAAACATATCAGATTTAAACTAGACTATTATTTGAATACCTTTTAAAATAATATAAGAAAAGAATGTAGACACACTGGTTAGTTGAAATCAATAAAAGCTTGTGTAGAGACTGACATATTTTCTAGTCTTGTGTTGATCTTGGATCCAATATTGGATAACAACCCTCAACAGTAAATACACATGTATGAGGACTCAAAGATGTACTGAGAATGATATTGTTTTATAAGCATCTTATAATAATTAAAGGCTTACTGATACTTTTCGTTGATTATATACATAACCTCTCACAGACCTTATATTTTTTGGGGGACCACATTCTGGTCGTTAACTGCTACTCGTTCTTGTTCTAGGGGTGACGGTCTTCGAAAAAGCCTAAGGCTCTGTCAATTCAAGTCCAATCGACATTAAAATTGGCATGCTTCTTCTTTGAACAATTCTGCATTGATTTGGTGAATTAGATTTTTGAAATTCATCCAACAACATGGTCAGTTCCAAGTCCATAATACGATCGTACTTGTTGTGACAATTGTTGATCTTGTAAGTCGTGAAGTTTGAAAATCGGCAAAATGGATTTCAGAACTAACTTCTAAATCTTAATTTTTAAAGAAATATGTCAGTTGATGGAATTTGATATGAAATGTATATATCTTACCTCCCTAATAAAACTTGCAATGAGAGAGAGAGAGAAATGGGGTTTAACGTCCACTCGACACAAACTATGTCATTTCGGGACTAACATATTGTTTGATTTTTTATTACAATAATTTGCTTGCGCCTAGGGGTCTTTAGCAGTGGGAGGAAACCGGAGAACCCGTAGAAAACCCACGAGATTGGACAGGCGACCCTACTCCTTGACACGTACAACCAAGGATTCGAAACCACGCAAGTTGACTCAATGACAGACCCTTTGATACAGCGCGCACGTGCTAACCATTCGGCCATCCAACCCCCTCCCCCCCCAACTTGCAATGAAGTTTCAAAACTAGTTTGTTTCTATCTTCTATCTTGAAGTACATGTATGTAAGTCCTTCTACTACTAGTACGTTATTCTTGTTTATGTATTTAGTCAGTTCAAATTGTTTAGGGTGGTGGGTGCCAAAGTGGATCAGTAAGTAAGACGCTGGATTAATTTTTTCATTGAGATTTCCTCTAGTCAGGATGGAGGGCGTGACAGGAAACAGTGTTCGGTCATTTGTATGGGACAAAAAAAAAACAAACAAGGTCTGTGCATTGAAAGAACCCTTGACACTAAAAATTTGAAATAAGAGTAGGCCATTGTGCCCGTCTACATTAGCTCATTTGGTATAGTAAAGTAGGATGTTAGGCCCTATTTCATTTTATTTTTGGGGTGATAGTTTTCCTGAATATACATGGGGGGTTGGATGGCCGAATGGTTAGCATATGCGCATTGTATCATACGGTCTGTCATTGAGTCAACTGGCGTTTTTTTGATTCCCTGGTTGTACGTGATAAGGAGTAGGGTCACCTGTCCGACCTCGTGCGTTTTCTCCGGGTCCTCCGGTTTCCTCCCACTGCTAAAAGATCCCTACACGTAAGCAAATTATTGAAATAAAATTGAACTATGTGTTAGTCCCGAAATGACCTAGTTTTTATTGAGTGGACGTTAAACCCCATTTGTCTCTCTCTCTCTCTCTCTGAATATACATGTATGTTCAGATGTCTTGACAAGACATACATGTAAACAAGGGCGGACTACTTACTATTTCTATGTGTTTCTGATCCAGTCGACATTTAAAACAATGAAACTATTTTTGTTAAATGATAAAAGTTGAACTGACATGTATGGGATTTTAACAAGTTTCTTATAGCAAATTAAATTCAAAATGGGCCTTTAACTTTGTAAATGTTTAATCATTATTATATTCACATTGTATAAGTTACATGTAGTTCACTAAATGTGTGAATTTCACTATTTTGATTATCCTTGCACATCTTTTATGTTAAAATTGAATTGTTTTATGTATAAAGGTGAGGGGCTAAATAGACCATGCCTGTTCTCCAATCCCATTCCCCAAGTGCTTACTTTATCATAAGGTCTGTCATTGAGTCAACTGGCGCGGTTTCGATTCCCCGGTTGTACATGTACGTGACAAGGAGTAGGGTCGTCTGTCTGACCTCGTGGGCTTTCTCCCGTTCTCCGGGTCCTCCAGTTTCTTCCCACTAATAATAAAGACCCCCTTTGCGCAAGCAAATTATTGAAATTTAATTGAACCATGTGTTAGTCCCGAAATGACCCGGTTTATGTCAAATTGACCTTAACCTCCCTCTCTCTCTCTCTCTCTCTCTCTCTCTCTTCAATAATATTCATTTAGGAATAAAATATTGTTTATTGTATAGCATTTATTTGAACAGGAAGAGCTGATTTTATTCAGCGATAGCCTGCAAGTAAGTCCAGGGTCAAAAGAAAAAAAATAAGATGGAAAAATTTATTGTGTGAATTTAATTTTGTGGAATCCGTTTGTAAACTGTGTATATTTAGAATTGAATTGATTGTAAGGATTGAAGTCCATGATCTCTAGAAAATAGATTAAATTTGATAAAACATCTTCTCAAATCAAATATTAATATAAGAAAGAAATCATCATGACACTAGATCCGTTAGTCAAATATAAATAGAATATGTTCGTAAATTACTCGGGGGCAGATTGTTTATTTAACCGAATTTAGAAATACAACAGGATACATATTTAACAAACCAGTTATTTAAAGATGGGTTCCCGCGTACAAACTGGGTGATTTAATGGTATATATGGACCAAAAACATATTCAAACTAATTAATTTGTCATAATTATGCTTCAAATCCTTCTCAAACATTGTAATTGCGAAGGAATGCCCCGCTATTAAAATTCGATCAAACCAGGTCATGTTTACGTCACGTCTTGGGAGTCAGAGGAGAAATCATTGCATACATAAAACGATGTTGTCTTTAATCGCTTACTATTTATTACAAATATCGAATCCTAATTAAATTCTCGGATTATCCACTACCCGCGTCTTTTTCCGTCATTTTTATCTCAGAAAGTATTGTACGTCTAAGTCTTCATAAAGTTTATCAACTTGTACATCAAGCGCTCAATGTTCGCTTGTGACCTTGACATCGTGCGTGCAGAAGGTCATAATCGTCGGGCTGTTGATTAGGGGAACCCTTACATTTTTGTCCTACAGACGCTCCATGAGTGTTTTTCGGGGAATCCAGTATTTTTCTAGTAAGATTGGATATCTCTACTTTCCATATATACCAAAATTGCCATACTTTTATGGAAATAACCACCCGATAAATACTTTTCTGGGAACCCATCTTTAAAGCTGTTTACACATTATTTGTTTAATTACATTGAATTAAAATACGTACATGTAACCTAAGACTAGCAAAACAAGCCAGATGGTGCAGTATTCACTTGCACGAATATCTCAAAAGTAAAAAAAAATGTACTAATAATAGTATCGGTACTATTATTTTCTAATATTTTGACTTTTATTAGATGTATATAAATAAATGACTCCAGCAGGTAGGCTATACGTGTAAGATACCTTTAGGAAGAATGTTCAGGTGTTCAAATACATGTATTTCTCAAAAGTCAAAAATATTTACTAATAATAATATCGGTAAATGCCTCCAGATATACATGTGAAATTACCTTTAGGAAGAATGGATTGGCTTATATAAAAAAGAATGAATGGAGCTGAATTATTATTTTCTTTTTGTTTGAAGGGAGGTACATGTAGTAAAGTATGACTCAGGTTTATTCTAGAATAACTGTTGCTAAAAGATAACCGTAACAGTTCAATAATCTTCGTCTATATATGGTCTAAATATACAATGAAGTGAATTGATAAGAACCAACATATTAGACCACTTTAGATAAAGATATGTTAATGTGGGTATAAATAAAACATGTACATAAGTAGGTCACATTATTTCCATTAAAGTAGCAGCCTTAGTAGAGAAAAGTCTAATGTAGCAGCCTTAGTAGTGAAAAGTCTTAACTTTGTTAAATAGTAAGTGCAGGAGGACTGCACTACACGCTAAACAAAATCTACAAGATAAACCTGCTGACAAGACAGAATATAGATATTTCAAAAAATAAACACATATCAAAACAGGTGAAGGGCAGCCCTTAACGGTCTCAGTGAAATAATTCTGCAGTGAAAATATAATATTGATGCATTTATAAAGGGATATATTTTAGTAAAAACAGGTCAAACAATTTTGGGTAAATTCTTAACTTAAGTCTGATAATGCTTTGTGAACTTGTGGCCAGGTAAATTTTGATGTCAAGACAGGCCAACCCACAAATGTATCAGTTATACAGGCTGACAGCAATATACATGTATGTGTATGATCACATTTCAGTAAAATTTCACCCTAAAAAAAGGAACCTTCCCTTTGAATAGACAGTGATACTGATATGTAAATAGTACATGTATGAAACAATCCTGGCAAACCCATTGAATTTACAATGTACATATGGCTTGAACTCTTAAATCTAAGTGCATGTTTGATTGATCATTGTTGGATTCTGAATTTAAATGAAATGGAGTTAACGTCCAACGTTTCCTCTCCCTCCGGGCTAATGAAGGTGGTAATGAATTCTTCCCCATGGCCCATATCCTGTATTCATATATGTATGTACCAGTAGTAATGAATAAGAGATTTGATTTGAAATATGGGTAGATTTAAAACAAACCATCACATTTGTAGATGTCTTTGTAAAATTTTAATCCAACTCTTTCACAAGTTTTTAATACCAGGTAATACCATATTCCTGAAGCAATGGCCCAGAGAAATCCCTCTCTGGCCATTGCTGGATTGACTTCTGAACTTCCCGTTCAATCAAATCTATCCCAATTACAGCAACATGACAGCTCTTCATTTAATCTGGCGTCTTCCATAAAACTTTGGACAGTGATTTAAGGTATTAAGAACGATGAAAGTATTGCTCGTCTCCAAACAGTATTGTTTACATTGTATCCATTTTGATAGCCTCGTTTCTCAAGCAATTAGTTTTTCTGCAATATTCTGCTATGCACTGGTTAATTGGGCGTAATATAAAATCGCAAGTCTTGACATAATCAAATTGTTGCGCAGCTAGCTATTGGTTGTTAATCGGACTATTGACCAGTCATAATTTGGACACAGAAATTTGCTTCCATTACAGCAGTGTTTAGTGGGATCAGCTCTAATCAAACGAAACAGTGCGAGGAGTATACTTGATACAACCCTGTTCCACATAATGACACCATATTATTGTATGATTTTATAAAACTCGTTCAGATATTGTTTACTGCCTTGTGGGTTGATTGAAGTAACACAATGAACTTATTTTCAAGCCAGGTAATTATGGCTTTATTTGTACTTGACAAACTGTCAGTCGCTAATGAACTTGTAACCTAACACTTTTAACTCAGGACATGTATTGAACAATATCAGTAAATACACTGAAAAATCAAATGTATGCTGAACAAACTGACAGGTACCAGAGAAAAAGTGTGAATTAGTGCCTGACTTTGTGACCAGGTGTCTTCTTCAACCTTAATTGGGGTAATAGCACTATAACCAAGCTATTTAGACACTTGACACTTAAAGATACATTGTGTAAGCAATGTAAGATTTAGATAAAGAGCTGACCATTCTTGCTATAATAGCTCAAAAATAGATAATGTATGATGAAAATATTTGAAATTTCTTTGAAATTAATTTATTCTGAGCCAAGTTATTACGGTTTGTAGTTTTGATAAGATGTGTGCATAGTAGTAACCAGGGCACTGGTATATTCGAAACTTGGCCTGGCTTTCCCATTTTTAAATGGTGAACCGTTCTAATCTAGTTAAAATCTTGAGTATTCGGTGCCATCGGGAGTTGATTATGGTCTGGATAAGTTAATTAATGTCTAATTAATAATTTAGATAATATTTCAGGCCTAAAGAAAGACCTGCAATAGGCAGATTTAGCTCTTACATAATGTATGTTTAAGGCTTATTCAGGTTGGGGGTTTTTTGTAGTCTGTAAAAGGTTGGTGTTCTAGAGATTGTTCAGTTGGTTATTATGTACCGTAGCAGTGTTATTCAATGTCCTTTGAAACCTTGTGAACATTCTAAAGACCAGACTTTTTGAGATTATATTATTTCACACGTAATACGTCGAAGCTGTGTTCCTTCACCTGTTCTATGGACAGTGGAACAACGCAGCTGCTGGGTGATGTTTATCAGTTGCCTGGCAAACCCTTAAATTAATTAAGCTTAGTGTTTCATTTACGTAAGTCAGAGCTATTACTGTTAACTGTAACCTGCATGTGGCTTGAGACTAGTGTAGTTGTACCTGAGGCAGTTTCACTGGTTGATGATATGGTCTATTTGTGTTATATGTGTATTGTTAATCTATAGGTCTACATACATTTGAGTTATTGCTGGTGAACATGTATTTTAATGTTCCTATTATTACATTTATTGTTTTTATAGTATCTAATTGTTATTTTATTTAATACTAAAATTATATAGAGTCTTTGAGTGGATGTATACTGATATATTGATTGTTGGCTTTTGTTCTTGTCTTTTAACAGAAAAAAGAGGGACACCTAAGAGAAAGAGAGGGTCTATTACAGCAGAAAGCTCTCCAGACCCTGGAAATAATATCAATCCACGAACACCTCAACCATCTAGAATCACAGTCCCTCTTTCCGAGCGACAACAGTTGGCAATGCTGATGAAAATGACCGATGAATCAACCCAAGGAGGTGAGGACAAATGGAATTATTTAACATAGAATGATGGTGTTAAAAGTTTATTTTTTGTAAAAATCATAGAAGTACATTTATTAGTGATTTTGGTTTGATCTATCAAAACAAATTTCCTAAATAGACAAAAGTTCAATTGATGTAAAATGCACCCACCCCGAGGTTGTACGTGCCTACTCTTATTGTTATTAAAGGATTTGGTAATTCCCACTTTATTCTTGAAACTGAAACTTCATTCTTACACTGCGATGACTCACGGGTATCAAGTAAGCATAGACAGGGGCTTTAGAGGGTATTCTACAGTAACACTCGAAAGTTGTAAATTTCATCATCTCTGTGGTGATGTTTACATTTTATTTAGGCAAACAAAGGCTTTATTTGTGGATTTTCTTTTATTCAAAAGATTTTATTGCCCAAGAAATACCACAAGGAAGGGGTATTACCTCAAATAAGATATTCAATATGGTACATTGAAATTATAGATTTTGTTTAGTCATTGAATTTCAACATGGAGGACATTTTTTACAAGATTTATCTCCCTTTCAATATTTCCCATGCAGAGCTAGCATCTTTTTTGAGCTCAGGTTTAGTACTCAAGGGAGATAAATCTATATTTTTTAGTCATAGAATTGAGTTTATGTATTACTAGACACTAATTTCTTCAGTTTTCCTGTATAAATGGAGCAAATTGCTATGGTTGTTAAGAAGATTGGTCATAGGTTGTTATGCAATTCATATCTATTGTCAGATGGGAACTTGGGCTAATACAATCTCCTTTCGTTTTCATAGATTCGTCTCCGAAGCCGTCCTCCCCAAATACACCAGTGTCAGGTAGTAAACGAACACCGATTGATAAAAAGGTGAATAAAAGAAATGATTGTGGGGAAACAGCTCTACATGGAGCTGCTAAACGAGGAGATGTTAAGGAAACGAAGCGATTGATAAAAGCTGGTGCAGATGTTAATGTTACAGATTATGCTGGTATGTCCATCTCTTTTATTATTGCATATAATTAGTTTGTGCTAAACTATGAAAATATAATTTAGTGGGGAAAAAAAATACAATCCTTGTCCTGTTTTGTAAAAATAAGGAGAGAGAAATGGGGATTACAAGTCCACCCAACACAAAGAAAGTTATTTCAGAACTACATGTAACATATGGTACAATTTCATTTCAATAATTCACTCAATACAATGTCAGAAAATTCGGAACAAACATTTGGTACAGTTTTATTTAAATAATTCCCTTGCACGTTGGGGTCTTTAGCACTGGAAGGAAACAGGAGGACCCAAGAAAACAAACGAGGTTGAGGAGGCGAGTAGTGCGCAACAGGTGCTCCGATATGATTTGTATCACAATTCATATCCAGGTGAATATTTACCAAAAGAATACCAGGTTATAGAATGATTGATATTTTAATTCCTGCCAATGTTGAAGAAATAAAACTGTTTTATATTCAGGGCTGTCGGTAATTTTTCACAGCTGATTTGATTAGCAAATTTTAAAAATTGATTAGCAAATTTAAAAAATTGATTAGCAAATTTTAAAAATTGATTAGCAAATTTAAAAATTAAAAATTGATTAGCAAATTTAAAAATTAAAAATTGATTAGCAAATTTAAAAATTAAAAATTGATTAGCAAATTTAAAAATTGATTAACAAATTTAAAAATTGATGAGCAAATTTAAAAATTGGTTAGCAGTTTTTCAGTTTCAACATAAAACACCTAAATAATAAGAAATTACTTTAATTCATAACAAATGATTAGATTTCATTCTCAGATTTTTTTAGCACTGTTAGTGCTACAGGTAACTGTGGCAGTTTGTGAATGTGATGTAGACTTTTGGTTAAGTCTGATGCCTGAAGCCAATTCTTGGCAGTGGCTTCCGAAGCCTCACTCATTTTAATTATTTCTTCGTTCGGTTAGAAATCTTTGTTAGAAAACAATTTCGTCTGCTTTTTATCGTGTGTTACTATTTTTGTTCAGTCGTACACACGCGGAAATTAACGAATAAACTCGATTAACTAGACACACAGGATAGAAACAATAATATATACGGGAATTCTTACCTTGATTTTTCATTTTACAGTACATTTGCATATATTTTTTTTTTTATATTTTATTGTCCCCCGCCTTTCGAAGAAAGCAGGGGACTATTAAAATGGGTTCGTCCGTCTGTCCGTCCGTCTGTCTGTCCGTCACACTTTTTGGGACACAATAACTCTCTTCCTAATTGAGCTAGAATGTTCAAACTTGGTGTATGTGTTTATTAGGTCAATGCCTTGATGGAGTTCGAAGATGAGCATTTTCCGCTTAGGGTAAGCAGAGATAAGCAATTTGATTGGTTGATGCTTTGGGACACGATAACTCTCTTCCTAATTGGGCTAGAATGTTCAAACTTGGTGTATGTGTTGATTAGGTCAATGCCTTGATGGAGTTCGAAGATGAGCATTTTCCGCTTAGGGTAAGCAGAGATAAGCAATTTGATTGGTTGATGCTTTGGGACATGATAACTTTAGTTCTAATTAAGTGAGAGTGATGAAACTTGGAGTATAGTTTCATTACATCAATACCTTGACTAGGTTCGATAATGAGCATTTTCTGCTCAGGGTAAGCAGAGCAATAAGCAATTTGATTGGCCGAGACTTTGGAATACAATAACTCTCCTTCTAATTGAGCTAAAATGTTCAAACATGGTGTAGGTGTTTATTAGGTCAATGCCTTGATGGAGTGTGAAGATGAGCATTTTCTGCTTAGGGTAAGTAGAGGTAAGCAATTTGATTGGTTGATGCTTTGGGACATGATAACTTTAGTTCCAATTAAGTGAGAGTGATGAAACTTGGTGTATAGTTTCATTACATCAATACCTTGACTAAGTTCGATATTGAGCATTTTCTGCTAAGGGTAAGCAGAGCGATAAGCAATTTGATTGGCTGAGACTTTGAAACACAATAACTCTCCTTCTAATTGAGCTAGAATGTTTAAACTTGGTGTAGGTGTTTATTAGGTCAATGCCTTGATGGAGTGTGAAGATGAGCATTTTCTGCTTAGGGTAAGTAGAGATAAGCAATTTGATTGGTTGATGCTTTGGGACACGATAACTTTAGGTCCAATTAATTGAGAGTGATGAAACTTGGTGTATAGTTTCATTACATCAATACCTTGACTAAGTTCGATATTGAGCATTTTCTGCTAAGGGTAAGCAGAGCGATAAGCAATTTGATTGGCTGAGACTTTGGAACACAATAACTCTCCTTCTAATTGAGCTAGAATGTTTAAACTTGGTGTAGGTGTTTATGAGGCCAATGCCTAGATAGATTGCGAAGATGAGCATTTTCTGCTTATGTTAAGTAGAGATAAGCAATTTGATTGGTTGATGCTTTGGGACACGATAACTTTAGTTCTAATTAAGTGAGACTGATAAAACTTGGTGTATAATTCATTACATCAATACCTTGACTAAGTTCGATGATGAGAATTGTCTGCTTAGGCTAAGGAGCAATAAGCATTTTGATTGGTCAAAGCCTTGGAACATAACAACTCTGCTTCTAATTGAGGTAGACTGTTTAAACTTGATGTAATGTTCGTCTTGACTTGAGTTCAAGGATTAACATATCAAGCTAAAGCTAAGCAGAGATAATCAATTTCTTTGGTCGATGCTTTGGGACAAGATAACTTTGATTCTATCTGATAGAGAGTGATGAAACTTAGTGTATAGTTGATAATCAGTTTGATTACTTGATACTTTTGAAAAAAATAGATGTGCGATTAATTAATATGTGTCATCCATTTATTAGGGGATTTCGGCGGGGGACATCAGCCTCACTGTTGGCTTGTTTACACTACGTCGGGGATACACTGGATTTATTTTTTTCAAATTGAATATTACTGATATAATTACTAGAAATTGACATGTCTCGCAACATGAGTGGTACTATTTGATTCCCTATTTCCGGTTTAATAGTCCCTATTCATAAAGTTATGTCCCTGTGTTATAAGTATAATGAATTGTGTCTGGGTAGTTTGAGAAGAAAATTTTATTTGACATTTTATACACATTGAAAGTGTTGAGAAAGCCTTCTAGTCTTCAAAATGTGGATAAATCTTCGGGTTAATACCCAAAATGACAGGCATATTATTGATTTGCAGTTACTGCGAATCAAAAACGTTAGACTTTAATTTTTGATTAGCAACTGACAAAATATGTATCGCAAATTGCGCTGCGATACTGGTTATTGGCAGCCCTGAATATATTTTGCCAGCACTACAGGCGAAATGACCCTACTCGTTTTCATGTACCGGTACCTGCTTGTGATTATAACCACGGCATTTGACTCAATTGCATTTGACTCAATTACAGACTTGATGATCTATAGTCCCCATGTTGGACCAATCAACTACCCCCACCTCCTTTGAAAAACATATCTAGGAAACAATTACCAAAGGCATGATTGAATACAGTTTAATATTTGTGATATGTTTATTTGCAGGTTGGACACCATTACATGAGGCTTGTATACATGGTATGCTACAGGTGGCTAAACAGTTATTGAAAGCTGGAGCTAATGTTAAAGTTGAAGGTTTAGATAATGACACACCCCTTCATGATGCTGCAGTGAATGGACATCATAAGGTAATATGGTCACCAAGATATTCACCATAATAATTATGTTTCTCTAATAACACACTTTTTATTGAATAACAATTACTGAATGCCATTCAAAGAATATATTTGGCATCAGCTGGCAGTCAACAAACCATAGTAATTGTTATTCCATAAAAAGTGTGTTATTTGATTATGTCCCAATTACTAAAAGCCATTAAAGGGACAATAACACTCTTGCTGGCTTAAAAGCTCCAGAAAATAAATAATATCTCTATCTAAGTACTAGATGTTTAAGTGTACTACCTGTTGTGTAAATTATCCATTACATCCTATTTTACTTGTCCAGAGGGTTCGAAAATATTTTTAAATCGAAGTTTCATTTGAAAAGGTTTACGTTAGACGTTTCAAACCATTATGTTGACTTTTTCAAAATGTTTAAAAAAGGTGTGTTAAGATGAAATTTGTATCATCAATTAATTGAAATATTCTAAAATAGTACAATTTGTTGACCAGAATAAAGATTGGGACATATTATTCAGTTACAACAAGAGTGGTATTGAGCCTTTAAAAGAATTATATTTCTGATAGGTATATTAGAGTATATTTTTAAATCATTTTCTAAGATGATATGCAATAAAATGGGGATTAACATTCTATTTTTCCTCTCTAACCGTGCTAATGAAGATAGACATGGGTCATACAGTGTGCTATGAGGAAATATTCCACCTGCTCCTCATCAAATTCCAAATCTGATTAAAAAGATCTATAGTTCGTTTCGGTTTTTTTATATTTTCGATGGCCTTTACTACATGAAGATCTGACCAATTGTAGTGGGAGGTCGGGTCAGAGGTGAATCGAGCATCTTTGGGCCTATGACGCCATACATTTGATTAACCAATCAGCGTTAACATTTCTAGTGGTTTACCCAAAGTTGCGTATATCGTAGGCCAAAAATTCGCTATAACAGATTGTTTCATTGGCTAATCCCTCATATCAACCTGATTGCGGGTTATAAAACAACTCTTCCAGATCCTACTAAAGATCAGTAAAACAAAATTTTGAACTATAAAAAAAACAAAACGAAATATGATCTGTGTTTTAATCATATTGTCAAATTCCTAGTGTTTCTTTATGTGTAGATGATACCTCATTTTTTTTTTATCTCATCCGAATGACTAGAGACAAACGAAGCTTGGACTAGGCTGGAAAACACAAGAGCTATGTATTTTCTAGTTAAACAACTTGTCTGTGAGCAGTCAGCAGTGATTTTGAAATTTTAAAGACAACAAGTATATATATAGAAAATATGATTTTTTTGCAGTTGGTTATGTTATTATTAAAACACGGTGCCAATCCTCATCAAGCCAACTCAGAAGGAAAAACAGCAATAGATGTCGCCAAATCTCCTGATCTAGAAAGACTATTGAAGCGAGAGATAATAATGTCGAACAGTGATAGTTCTAGTGTTGATGATGTTCGTTCCCCGATGTCACCAGAGAGTAATTCCTCTTTAAAAGATGAAGATAGACAGCTAGAAATCGAGCATTCAGAGGGTAATTATTATAATAGAGGAAATTTGTTGTATTAGTAATTGGTTTGAATATGAAATGAAATGGGGTTTAACGTCCTTCTGTTCTGCACCAACTGGGATAATGAATACGGGAATATGCTGTACAATGTGCTATAAGGGAATTTTTGCCTGACAGCAGCAGTACGGCCTTCTCTTATTTTGAATTCTGATTAACTTTTTCGGCCAACACCAGGATTGATGAACATGGAACCTCCAGGCTAGCGAGCGAATGTCTTGCACTTGGGTTATTGTCAACACCACCTAGTGAATGTATCGGTCTTGTGTTATTGGGAGTCCCACATATTTTGTGCGGAAGAGCTTTGTGATAATACTGTTGTGAATCTTATTGACCCTCCACTTAATATTGAGGTTTCAGAGCGTACTAAATAATATACAGAAAAGTGTATTATATATTTAGCAATGTCTCAATGTTAAAATATTGCCAAAAAATGACCAAAAATACAGCTGGTATTTTAGGGTTTTGGTGGTTTTTTTTAATATACTTTTTCTTGCTGTTTCAAATCTTAGTTAAATCCGTACAGTTACAAAACGTTAAACTAAAATATTTTAAAAGAGCAAAATATTCATTGGTTGATAGTTGAAATCCTAATACAAATAGCTCTGAGCCAATAAAAAGGTTGCAGTCTTAAAATACTTTATATTAAGGTTCTGTGATTAAGACCCCCTGGGCCCTGTTTCTCGAAATTTTAACTAAAGATAAAATCCAATTTTAGTAGATACTTCAATTATGATTGACTAAGCACTAAAATCAATCTAATATTATCCAGTCAAATTACTAAAATTTGGATTTTATCATAGTTAAAATTTCGTGAAACAGACCCCTGGTGTACGTGCATGTTACATCGTGTGTATTTACTATATATTGATATTGTTGTCTATTTTAGATTTTCCGATGCGTGGTTTTGGTAAAGATGGTACCGGTGGAAGTGGCAGTCGGCGAGTTTTAATTCCGAAATCGCCAGATAAAACAGGCTCTCCTCGTTTATTAATTAAATTTAAGCCCAAAACTTTACCTGATCGTGATATCACCCAAAAATCAAAAGATACTAAAGAGCCTCAGTTTAAATCTTATAGTGTTACTGTTGATACAGGGGAACATAAGGATAGTTTTTCAGGAACAGGAAGTCCGGTGTCAAGTGTCGATAGCGATTTATACGATCCCGGTCTCGATAACCCACAGTTAATAAGAAAAGAAGAGGACTCGAATAAACAATTTTCTTCTAATTCAGTGTACGAAACGTTCAGCGATAAAAATACCAGTTCTAGTGTAGCGGAGAGACCTTTCTCAGAACTTGGCAAAGAAAGTTCCTCTTTGCAAAATTATGATGAATTAAGCGAAGGAGACGAAGAAAGATCACATGCCACATCAGGCTTGAATAGAGGATTATGGGATTACTCTCACATTCCACAAACTGAGAGAAATCATTGTGTGACATTGCGTAGTTCTTCTGTAGCGATGTCCGGTGTTATTCAAACATCCGAAGCATCATCTGCACCCAACAGCCACCATGTGACTGTCACTCAAAATTCTGATTGGGCAAGTTTGAATCCTGTTAAAAAGAGTGCTATAGGTGTGACTAGTGGGAATAATGTCGCCGACACGAGTGATAGCGCCGACAATAAACGATGGGACTCGCCTCAAATGCCCCAGTTTGAAGACAGTGTTCAGTTTTCTGAAGACAATTCCCAAAGTTCATTAACTAGACCTGAGGATGACGGTGATGAAGTTGAGAGCCGACCTTCATCACCCAAAGTTCCTCCTTTAAAAATTATAATTCCGCCAAAAACAGCCGACAAAGAAAAAGTGTCGTTAAAAGTGACGTTAAAGCCGGGGGCTGGGGCACTACCATACGTGTATAATCCATCACAGGGTGAACAGTCATCTTCAGAACAACCTAGTAGTGCTCCAGCCGAATTATTACGAACTGCCAGTCCGGCAACCTCAAGACCCATGACGTCATCTAGTGCACCTCCAGTGTCAAATGTGGAGGATTACGATAAAAGTGATAAAGAGGACACAGTTAGTGAAAAAGGTAGTGATACGAAAACTGAGACGGCAGAAAGTGCGGCGAAAGCGAAAGAAGATACAGCGAATACAGAAAAAGAGGAAAGACGGGTTACCAGGCAACTCAGGTCACACACTGCTCAGTTACAGCAGCAAAAAGAACAACAAAGTCAACCGACTTCTTCTTCATCTGCCAAAAACAGTGACAAAAATAGTGAGTAGTTTCCCCTGGACTTAGCAGTTTTGATAAATTATTTGGGCTGGAGATTTACTGTATTTCCAGGTGGTCATATGTGTTTATACATTATATTGTTGTTGGTTATCATTGTGAAAATATATCTCAATAGCCAGATTTTTCAAGATTTTTTTTTATAAGTGGCCGTGCCGTGTTTTGTGATTGCTATGGTATCTTATCAATAATCACAGATTTATGTCCCTTGTTGGGAAATTTTATGCGTGCTCTACACATACCTGAAATCGGTGAATGTTATAAAAAAATTTCTTGAACTTGCTGATTGTTTGGATATGGCTTGAATTTGTTTCAACATGCAGACATCAGTAGTTATTCTTGGGCAAACTCGCATACTTGTGCTGCTACTAACTCTGGGACTGTGACTGGATAGAATTTCCGTAACAACAGCTCCACGAATACTGATTGCGGTTCAAAACTCATATCAGCTTTAATTTATTAACAGAATCTTATATTTTACACTTCATGCCATTTACTCACTGTTAACTATATGTGGTTTTTCATTATGAATAGCCTACATGAAGATTTCCCATAGATTTTCATGAAAATGTTTAAAATGTGTACAGTTTTTTTGCTAACATCAATGCTAACAATTTAGTTATGGATTCATCACACTAACTTTCATTCTTCACAATTGATAAACTTGAGGGATTTGGACATTGTACAACAATCAATATGTCATCCAAACAAAGTAAATCATTTTTTATGCCCAGAAAAAGTTGATTGTGATTATGTTTTTAATTTGACCTTTCGAAATTTTGCTTCTTATTTTTTGGTGGAAAAAAATAATTTAAAAACAAAAAGTATTTGCTCTTCTCAAAGGCTTTTAATTCCACATATTAAAGTTTGGAAATTTTGAATCTAAAAAAAAAAAATGTTCACTGGATACAAATGGATATTTATGTATAAAGATCCGAAAAACTAAAAATTGATTTTGTTTGGTGTTAGTTACAACTCAAAGTGTTATTTTAGCAAATAAAAATAGTTTGTGTTTGGACAGTGATAGTCAGAAAATGAGAATAATTATTTTAGATTGTTTTATAGTTGTGGAATATAAAAATTGTATAATATTTACAGATTCAGAAACTGCAGCGGATACCGGCAGCTATCAGAAACCTGAAGAAAATGAGGATTCATCAAGTCATATTCATCCTCGGAAGCGAAAATTACGACCTAAACCAGAGCCAGAGGAAAAACCGGCTGCTACCACGGAGGTAGTTACGATTCCTAATCCTGCTTCATGGTATCAGATGCCTCCAAATCCTTATGAACTATTTTTGAGTATTAGAAGACAGGTATGTTATTAAAGATACATTATGGAAGATTAGATAAAGACCTGGCAGTTCTCACTATAATAGTTAAAAACTAGATAATGTAAAGGCAATTGGCTGAAAATTCCAGTCAAATTGATCCACTATGAACCGAGAATTAAGCGATTGAAGTTTCGGCCTAGCCTCGGGTCATCATTACTAAAGTCTGTACGATAAAAAACATTGTCTCGATCATCCATTTCATGATTAAATTATGAAGTCGAGCAGCAAATAGGATCATAATCCAGTAAATATCGCAGGCTAGTGATGCCATCAAGGTATGATTATAATCTGGATAAGTTAATTAATGTCTAATTAATAATTTAGATAACATTTCAGGCCTAATAAGAAAGTCTTGCAATTGGCAGATTTAGCTCTTGCATAATGCATGTTTAAACAATTCAAGACAACTGATTAGCACTTGTTTAAGTTGCATTTAGTAATTGAACAACAACACACGAAGACTATTTATGGAATAACAATTACTGGTTTATTAACATGCAACGATTCGACGATGATACTCTTGTTTTTATCACGCTTGATAAACCAGTAATTGTTATTCCATAAATAGTGATAGTGTGTCACTGATTAGCAGTTTCCAGGACAAGCGACTTTTCAAAGTGCAATATTGTTGTGCTTGACAGCTTGGTTAGCTGTAACAATCTCAACAATAAGGAGAATACCTATTCTCATGATGTGGGGGTTGGATTGGATGGCTGTATGTGACAATTAGTAGGGTCGCCTGTCCAACCTTGTCGGTTTTCTCCGAGTCCTCCAGTTTCCTCCCACTGCTAAAGCTCCTTATGCACAAGCGAATTATTGAAATAATAATTGACCTGTATGATGTTAGTCTCAAAGGATCTAGTTTGTGTCTAGTGGAGGTTAACCGCCCCTCCCTCTCTCTCTCTCTCTCTCTCTCTTTCTCTCATGAAAAGATATGGATTATGTTATTTGAACAAAACCAGGACATCCTCCATTTATTTCATATTCCAGCCATTTCTCAATCATATTTACTTACATGTATCCATTCATGTAGCTAACTTTACCGTTGAAGACCTGTTCTGAGAATTTTTTCTCGACTAGGAGTCATTTTGTATCTAGTGAATCAGTCACTATATTGTTTGTTAATATCTGGCTTTTTACTCAAAACTATTGCCAATGTAGAAAAGTTACCAATAATACTATAGTCGAGTTTGTTCATGTAAGTTTTTGTTGAATAATGGGCAACGAAAGTGACACAATGAGAGAAATCTGTCCAGCACTTTACAATGTTACCGCATTCAGTAAGGCTGACCCGTTTGACTTTCTCTGCAATATTTGTAACATATTCTAATAAATTGACTTTTCAGTGTAATAATGCAAATATTATTTATGTTATAGATATCGTCACGGCGTAAAAATTTATCACCAGTAACACCAAAGCCACCTAATGGATATAAAGATTATTTGATGGTTAACTGTACATATGTCTTACAAGGAAATACAGCCAGTACACTCTCAGTACCTATGGTATGTGTTATACTAATAAATTCATACTTTCATCAGATGATTTCAAAAAACAAATCATCTAAAATTAATAGCAAAATGGAAATTGTTTGGGTTGTAAATCTAGTTATTCAGATGGTACAAAAAAAACTAATAGAATAACCATACAGAATTAGAAACATTTATTTTTAATCCATAGCAGGCTAACTCCTATTAGCACCTATTTAACCCCTGTGGTTAAAAGCTTTGTAGAGTACTAGAAATTTAAACAGTGTTTGTGATTAAATTGTTTCAATGGCATTTAGTAATTGAACTGGAATATACAGGTCACAATTTTATTGAATACAATTACTGCTTATTACTGAGCAACTAGGTTTCGGTCTCTAGTCATTATTAAGCAATGATATTATGAAATGTAACAAAACAATATATACATGTAAAGCCTAGTTGAAACGTTGCTCAGTAATAAGTAGTAATTGTATTTTATAGAATTGTGACCTCTATATGTTTGTGATTAGTCAAATATAGCCATAGAATGATACATTTATCCTGCCCATATTATCATAGCATCTTATCAGTATGTTATCTGTGCTAGCGATGGGCTTGTATTTCGAGTACAACATGAGTATATATATATGCAAGACAGATCTAATGGATTTGAAAACAAGCCAAAGCTTTTATAAATTCATCTTCATTGAGATTTCTCAAGCTGTCATGGAATAATGATGTGAAACAGCTGGGTTGGAGAAATCTTACAGACATAACTTATTTAAAATATATTGTTGATGACCTGATGTGAGCTTTCATACTAATTGTAATGTTTATTATATTTCAGTTATCATGTCCTCATTCTGTGGAGGGTCCTATGAGAGATTTATTTAAAGAACAGGAGAATGCTAGATATAAATTACGACTACAACATTTAATAGAAAGGGTAAGAATCAGCTGACGAAATCTAATTTTCCCCAGCTCATTCCATAATAAAGGGTACTGGAATTGATTAACATTTAATTAAGAAATCAAAATATGAATGGGTGCGACTCAGATCATAAGGCCTGTCATTGATTCAAATGGCATGGTTTCGATACCACACTTGTACATGAGTTTTCTCCAGGTCTTCCGGTTTCCTACCACTGCTAACACGCAAGCAAATTACTGAAATAAAATTTTACAATACGTTTGTCAAAAATTGATCTATTTTGGTTTGAGTGGGTGTTGAACCCCATGTATCTCTCTCTCTGTCCATTTTCCAAAACTGATATGCCTGGCCATGACACATGTTTTATGTTTTGTAGGAAAAATTGGTATTATCAGCAGAACAAGAAATGTTACGAGAACATGGTCGTGCTGCTAGAGCAGACATGAATCAATCTATTCCTCTCAGTGCTTGTACTGTTTTACGGGAGGAAGAAATATATAACTTTCTACAATTTGATCAGGTACAGTATTTCACTTTTTGATCCTAGTAAAACCTGGGGGGTTGGATGGCCGTATGGTTAGCAGGCGTGGTTTCAAATCCCCGGTTGTATGTGACAAGGAGTAGGAATGCCTACTCTCTCTCCCTAGTAAAACCCTCCACAGTTTGTATTGGGAGATGAAATTGCACATGGAACCAAAGACAGTCCTTCACATTTAAGGTTGGCTTTTGCTCCTGCACGTCACGACATATATCGACTTTCCTTCAGGGTAACTCATAAAAGATGGTCGCAAATTAGCTAAATTTCTCTCCTAAATATTGAGATTAATAAACTACTTTCAGTTTTTATACGCCCACATTTAAATGTGGTCGTATATTGTCGTCGCCCCCGTCCGGCGTCCACAATTGCTTGTGGACGCTCTAGAGGCTAAAGTTGATATCCGATTGACTTTAAATTTATACACAGTGTTTAAGGTCATGAGACGAAGAAGCCTATTGATTTTCAGCGATTTCCAATAATTACTGCCAGAGTAATGGCCCTTGATCACTTCAAAAAATCTTGTGGACGCTCTAGAGGCCAAAGTTAATATCCGATTGATCTTAAATTTATACACAGTGTTTAAGGTCATGAGACGAAGAAGCCTATTGATTTTTCAGCGATTTCCAATAATTACTGCCAGAGTAATGGCCCTTGATCACTTCAAAAAATCTTGTGGACGCTCTAGAGGCCAAAGTTAATATCCGATTGATCTTAAATTTATACACAGTGTTTAAGGTCATGAGACGAAGAAGCCTATTGATTTTTCAGCGATTTCCAATAATTACTGCCAGAGTAATGGCCCTTGATCACTTCAAAAAATCTTGTGGACGCTCTAGAGGCCAAAGCTAATATCCGATTGATCTTAAATTTATACACAGTGTTTAAGGTCATGAGACGAAGAAGCCTATTGATTTTCAGCGATTTTCGATAATTACTGCCAGAGTTATGTCCCTTGATCACTTCAAAAAATCTTGTGGACGCTCTAGAGGCCACAGTTAATATCCGAATGATCTTAAATTTATACACAGTGTTTAAGGTCATGAGACGAAGAAGCCTATTGATTTTCAGCGATAATTACTGCCAGTGTTATGTCCCTTGATCACTTTAAAATATCTTGTCGACGCTCTAGAGACCAAAGTTAATATCCGATTGACTTTAAATATATACACAGTGTTTAAGGTCATGAGACGAAGAACCCTATTGATTTTCAGCGATTTCCGATAATTACTGCCAGAGTTATGGCCCTTGATCACTTTGAAAAATCTAGTGGACGCTCTAAAGGTCAAAGTTAATATCCGATTGACTTTAAATTTATACACAGTGTTTAAGGTCATGAGACGAAGAAGCCTATAGATTTTCAGCAATATCCGATAATTACTGCCTGAGTTATGGCCCTTAATCACTTTGAAAAATCTTGTGGACGGCCTAGAGGTCAAAGTTCATATCCGATTGACTTTAAATTTATAATCAGATTTTAGTGTATTATAAATGTTTCATTACTGAAAATTAAAAATATTTGACAACTCTTGTTGCCTGCCCGGACGATTTAGCTGCTGTGGGCGTATGTTTCATTGCCTGGCAACCTATCTTTATTTATTTTTGAACTGCATACGTTTGAGTAGAGTGGCTTCCTCCTTTGAACTATCAGTGTTTCCATGGTAATTCTGAGGCTGCCATATTCAGCATAGAACTAAATACATGTGTAAATCGAGTTGTTTATGGCTCCCACATGATTTAGTATGGCAATATGATGAACCACATTCTTTTCCTTCAACATTTCCATAATTAATCATTTCCATCTTTTATGTGTTATGTATTTTTATGTAGCCGGAGGATTGTGAAAAGAATGTAAGAGCTCGTTACAATAAAAGACAATTTTTATCCTGGTTACAAGATGTATCAGATAAATATGAAAAAATAAAGGTTGGTGTTTTTACATTTAATAAGCATATCAGGGTAATGGTATAAAATAAAATATTGGCTAATAAAGTTCCTCAGTAGTTTCCAGATTGATTTCTCCTAGTCAATGGTGCAGAACGATCATATACCATGCAGTGTGCTATGAGGGAAATTTTGTCTGTTTAGTGGCGCTATGGCCTACTCTGGTATCGAATTCCAACTGCCAAGTGTTCTTTTATGTGCACTCCACAATGTGTACATGAGACCTCTGTTTTTCGTTCCATCCAAACAACTATACGTTTTCCCTTGCCAGACCCTCTGTCCTGCACAACAGACAAGGGGGAACCATGCCAGAAAATCCATATGAACTTTCTCAGCAAGCTCTGGAATGGAACCCTGGACCTCCAGGTTAGCAAGCCAACCTAGCTCTCTATGGAGTCTAAATAACTGAGGTCCTGTATGTTCCACTGACAATTGGAAATAACAGGACATAGCATCGCTGGCCAGGCAAAATTCCCTCCGCCCCCTTAAAATTGCTTATGTGAACAAATTAAACTATTTTTGTCTCAAAATGACCAATCCTGTCTGCTGGGCATGATGACTCAAGTTTGCCTATGGCGTCTCCTCAGTTGGGCTAAAGCCTTTTATTGGTTCATTCCACTGTTAATGATAATGAGTTTAGAAAGAATGAATAAACCCAATAAAAGATTGGATAGACCTAGTAATGTGACCGGTTATAGATTTTCAGATTAAACCAGTATTTAAACTAAATCTTTATCTATTTCAGAAATTTTTATTGTATCGTCATCGTCACGAAGCGGAATCGTTGAATGCTGTACAAAAATTAGATTGGGAGTGTAAGTTAAAAGAACTTGGTTTATGTGATCACAATGTGACACCAAGTATAGACGAACTTCACTTACCTATGGTTACTGTTAGTGATGAATTTGAATTATTGCCTCTCTGATAGTTTTATTCTCGATCATCATTGTTTGTTTTTTCGTCATAAGGCCATTTAACGTGGCTAGTAATGTGTGTCATAGCAAATTGGTTTCGGATGCTAGCTTTATAGAGAAAACCTGGATAATGGTTCTACTACTTTCATTGTCATCATTATGAAATGGCTGGATATATGTGACTTGCTAATTATTATACGCTCTAGTGCTACAAAGGATTTTAATGTGTGCTCCTAAAGATGTGGATATTCATCGTGTAATGTTCTGTGTATCAACCGATGAAAGATTCATCTTTGGGAATGATTTACCAGGGCAATTTCTACTGAAGTATCGATTGACTTTTATTCCTATCTATTATTTCTAATTGTTCATTTAAAGTAAGAAAATCTTCTCTTATTTTAGAACTTATTTTGTTAAGTGGTGGTTATGTATCTGTAGTCTGCATCTAACTCAATGGAAGCCATTTTACTCCTTGGCCACAAACTATTTTAGACATAGTTAAGTTCAATCTGATTAAAATACAGTCTGTTTATTGGCTTATCCCACACTTCAACCAAAACGCCGGTAATATAACCACTCTTCCAGATCCTAGTGTAGTAAAGGCGAAACGAAATTTTGAACTATAAAAAACAAAATGAAATAAGATCTGTGTTTTAATCAGATGGAGTTAAGTTGAACTAAATGTGATTCTATGAATCATGTAATAATTACAAACACGTGTAATAAACTGATACTAGTGAACAATTGTAGCATTGTTCAGTAAGACAGAGGGGATACTCTATTGTTATTCAGAACTTTCCGAATAAACAGAATTGCAATCAAGTCAGACCTGACAACCAGGGCTCTGTGAGAAAAATTGTTATGTAATTAAACACAACTAACATGTTTCAGCTGTCATGGTTGGTTGACATATTTTCTTAATCAGATCGTACATGCGTTGTAGTCAGAAATCTCACTTTTTAACGATTGTCACTATTTGGGAATTAAGAGAATTCAATTTGGAACATTCAATCCCGGGTATAACTAATTACACAATCACTACAGGAATTGTATTCCTATAGAATATCGGCTCCAAGGTGATCATCACTTTTTTCAGATGAAACCTTGACCCTTCACTCCACATTCTATATTTCATTGTCACGGTTGATCTATCTCACTTGTGTAACCTTGGTGATTCGGCATTTGAGCAAAAGGGGAAAAAATTTAATATTTATTATGTACAATGTCTTTAAAACCAAGTTACAGAAAGAAATATATTTCTGTTAAAAGAATGGTATTGTGACATATCATAACTATATTGTAATAATTACTATGGTAATACTTTAAGTCAATGTTTATGATCGATATTGATGCATTGTTAGACCGAGCTCACATTGGTGGTACCTGAAGTAAATAGCATAGGTTCAAAATTTACATTCACACTTATCATTGCATAAGAATTTTTTGTAGCGGATGAAATGGATAAATCCATTGATGGCACAGCTGTATACAATATGGATACATTTGTATAAAACTTGATGGATTAAGAAAACATGGTGTTCACACTGGGGTGGGGGGTGCTCAATTGCAAGTGGAATGTTCAGAATTACAGTTGATTGACACAGAATTGAGTCCTGTCAAAGTTCCATCTGTCCAGTTAATAGATATTGTGCAAGTAGAGTCTTGACATGACAAAACACATGGAACTTAGTCAAGACAATATTTTATTAAGTTGCACTTGTCTTGGGTTCACTCACTTGTCTGACACTGTGATTGAGAGAATTGAGTGTCATCCCATCAGCATCCTGCTTTTAACGCAATGTAAATTATCCATTTACAATTACAGGATTAGGATCTCAAAGTTATAGTCACGTTCAGCAAACTACAAACATTGTTTCTACAAGACCATCGAGGAAACATTGTTGCCATTTAACTATTTAGACTTTATTTTGACATAATTTCTACTTCGACTTTACTTAAACAGGCATTATGTAAGATTTAGTATATAAAGTAAATCTGCCTCTTGCAGGTCTTTCTTTAGGCCTGAAATGTTATATAACTTATTAGACATTTATAAACATGAAAAGACCATAATCAACTCTCGATGCCATCTTATCTGTCCGATTTTCATTGGATTTGAATCCAATTTTCTGTTCAACGTCTGTTGATGATTAAACACAAAAATGGATAAACGAGACTTTTTTAATTATCGTAACATGACAATCTAGGCTACAAAGGTTTTAAAATAAGGTTTTCTCGGCTTAGAGTGAAGCAATTTGACTGAAACTTTCAGCATATCCCCTTTACATTATCTAGTTTTGAACTATTATAGTGAGAACTACTGCCAGCTCTTTATCCAATCTTCCATAATGTATCTTTAATTATTTAAAACAAACTATTGTCTGTTTTAAGAAAAGTACCATAGATGGAAGGATGTTTATTCAAAGTTTTTAAGTCATTATTTTCATTATTTTAGGCATTATTTCATGTGGTCATAAATTCTATGTTGTTTTTTTAATCGTAGTTCTGTAAATAAAACAACACAAAGACATTTTCGTTTGTGTTTTTTGTGACAAAGAGGATATTGAATTGTACAGATAATATTCCAATGTATATAAGTTGATATATAGTACATAAATATTACCGTAAACACATTTCATTGTTTGTCCTGTCATACCACATTACATCCAGAGTTATCTGTTCATGTCATGCTGTTTTAGTTATCATTTGGTACATATGGCTTGGTGTGCGAATAAATACATGTAATACATGCTACATAGTGTGCAAATAAATACTTGTAATACATGATGCATGGTGTGCAAATTGCTGCGTGGTGTGCGAATTAAAAGAGAATTGTGTATAGAAGCTTGTGAGTTTAGCTTGGCCATTTGTAAGAATCATACAGAATTTTTATAATATCTTGGTTCATGCCATGTATAAAAACTCAGAATCGCTAAAGTTTGATTTTACCTTTTATAAGTATAAAGATGGTCACATTTAAGAATCACCTATCAACTAAATATAGCGTTTTGATGTCTCTAATAGAAGAATGAAGCAATTTGGTTTTGTCATTCTGAAAATACTGACCCACGGTCAAACCATTAGTCATATAGTTAAAAAATATTTCAAACGAACTTCCTACCCAGGTGTGACAATTGATATCTATAAGCATGACAGATACGAAATACTCGGGATGACCCCTCCCCCCCATCCATGAATAGATGAAAGTATAGATGTATGATTTTAGAAATATTGTCAATTCGATTTTTATCACTTACTACATGTATGTTGTTAAATCACATTTTGCATCCTTTGGTTCACTGAATCTTTATTTTTTATATAGTATAAGATTCACGATTTTTCTGTGATTTTGTTGTTAGTTATTTCCTCTCTGTTGTGGAAATAGATACTTTCTTTACTAGAAGTTGTTTTGTTTTTGTTGAATAATTTCAATGAACGTATTTTTCTGAAATTATTTTTTTTATTTAGATTTCAGCTCAAATAGTCTTCTACACTCTTAATACACCAAATGTGAAATTAACAAGGGCAAACCAGTAACATACCCTTTTAGGCTTTTAGCTAAAGCACATTAAAAATTGTTAGCTTTTTATGGAAAGTGGGAATTGTTGTTTGGTGCTCCAAAACAAGTAAGCATACTCTGCTCATAACTGTACAGGCAATCATTAGTGTTAAGTCGCTATTTTGGCAGTTGAAATTATATTTGAAAGCAAGTTAATGGGTTTTTTGGGTTTTTTTTACTAAATTAAGAACCTATATTCAGAGTACACTTTATATTCCCAAATGATTAGGGCTTAATAGCAAGCATTATTAGCTCACCATTGCTATATTAAACAACAGATACGGTCTATTATTTTCATTGGTCTACTATGGTCGCTTACCAAAACACAAACATTGATTAATCTTTTTAGAATTGTAATATTAAGCTCATAGTCCTTATATTGTGGTAATATTATGAATAGTGCTAATTTAAGCTCTTGATAGAGTAAAATGCAGGAATTTCAGGCATTTTATACAAGGTCCAAAAAAATAAGGGAACTCCTGAATTCCTTGTGGAAATACGTTCTGCTGGAATGTTGTGTCAGATAATCAGATTTAGCCATGATCTGCAGGAACACAGACAGGCTTAATGGAATGCAACCCTTGGGATATGACTCCATTCTTATTGGAGCTCAATGTCGAGTTCGTCAAGAATGACTGGTGCAGGGTTACAGAACTAGAACACAAAGTTGCTGTACACTGTATGTTGCTGCTTTAAAAAGTTGACAGCTACGCAAGCACTATTGTCCTGGAAGACAAAGTTGCAACCTGCTCTATTAACCATAGAGTCACATGGGGTCTTAATTCTAACCTAGACCATAATGCTTCCTCATCCATAAGCATCCTTAAAAGTGGTTGTAGAATAATACTCACTACGTAACAGCCAGACATTCACTGCCATATGTAAATCCGTCGCTAAATATCATGTGATGCCAGTGACAAACTGTCCATCCCTAGCATTGTCGAGCTCACTAGACGTCTGTCATCAGCAATCATGATGAGACCTTTGAATCGACACCTTGTTTTTAGGCCTGCTAATCAGTGCTGGAGTAGTGACATTGCAGTTCCTGAGCATAATGATTCTGATATTATCTTGTTGGACAGTGGTTTTACAAGGTCTTCCTCTCCCCTTCCTGATTATAATCTCGTCTGACGAGACGTGAAAGGATGCTTTTGGATTTCCATGAATGAATGAGAAGCTGGATTCTTGGTCCAACCTTGATAAGTATTCTCAAGGTGGCATTTTTAAGACAAAAAATGTACGTCTCATTTTCTTATATCCCGAAACACATGTGCATTACATGTTTTGTATATGCACCACATTGTGTGCAACAATCTCAAGTAGTTTAGGGTCAAGGTTAGGATGTAGTGCCCTTTCCAAGTTCACCTAACTCCAATAATGATTCTGCATTGTCTAAGGGATTTCCCTGATTTTTTGCTCCTTGCATAGTACACAATTTTAAATATCTTCTTTTTTTAAAAAACAAAAAAAACTGAAACTACTGGTTCAGTTTTCATTAATATTCCATCTGTAACAATTTGATGTAGACTTGTTAGAAAAATACAAAATTAGTTCAGTTTTAGGACCAGCTATGTTTTGATTTCATTAATTTATCACTTGACATGTGTTATAACTTATTTGACTGTTTATGGTACCTGAGAGGTATTCATGAATTAGGAAGTCAACTCATTGACATAAGACAAAAGTAATGTTTTGTTTTTGTATTCAGATATCTTGCAGAGGAAATCGGGCTCTTCAACTATATTACGATTGTATATTTTAAGAGTTCGTCTTGAAAGAAAAATTATGCTTAATTCTACATCTCCACCAATCTGATTAAAATTCAGATCAATATTACGTTATGTATATTGTAAGTGTTAGTTATGAGAAAATAATTATGCTTGATTCTCCAGTTCTTCTTGATGTTTTGTTTTTGTAATCAGATATATTGTTGAGAAAATAGGGACTTTTAAATTTTAA